ATTTTACCCGCAATTGTAATGAATTTACTTCAGGCAACGTTTTGAGTTGCATCGCTACACCGTGCATTCGCTAATGCTTCCTTCCCCCAAACTGTATTGATGTTACGCGCGGTTTGGGCCATAATTCGCTCAAGTTTAAATTTGTACAAATAAATTTGACGAAAATCTAGTTTGGACATATTTAATTTAGCAGGTCATCACTCTTATAAAATTCAGTATAAACTAAAATGTTTTATAGGAAAGAAAACAATTGAGAGGTATTTATTATAATCCATAAATTAGATTTAGCTTTGTTTACATGACAAGCACCTGCAAAAATAAAACAAATTTTTAAATCCTGCACTAATTTTGTACCAACCCAATATATCTGATCTATCGACACAACAGTTGTTCAGGAGAATCATTGAACTGTTTCGGTTCTAAAAGTCTTCGTAGTTGTCCTAGTCTTCTGTTTTCTCTTTGTTGTATCTTGTATTCCACTTCGGTCTGCCGTCCATTATAGGCCCTATGTATTGAATTAACCGGAAGTCGGTAGCTCCTTGTTGTTGATATACAGTAGAAGCAAGACTTTTTGAAATTAATTTTTTTAATGTAAATAAATGTACACTGGGTAGATTTTCCTTACTCATCCTTGTGTGCTTCTTTGGTGTTCTTTGGTCATGAAGTGAATTATGTCGTTTTTCTTGGCTTCAAGCAAGTTGAAACACTTTAATGATGTTTGCTGTTTAAGATTTCCATAGATTTAGATTTATGCAATGATAAAACAATGTATGATGTGAACATAAGAATAATTTAGACTAGTACGGTGAAAAAAGCATCCCTTTTTGCCATGGTTAATAGTAATTAATGTACTATGAACAAAAAGTTGGATATATAGATCTATGTATATGGTCTGTAATTGAGAACCATTCAATGATTTAAGAAACATATTTATTTGGTGCGGTATAGCCTCGTATATATATAAAGGCTCCAGCGAAGAGCTGCGATGAAAACAATAATCGAAAATTGATTCGGTACTTCTTCCCTGGCGTAAATAAAACATCGCCTTTGGGATTTCTTTTCTAGGAAAAAAAGTGGTAGGTGAGAAAGGGTATCACTAGTCGGTAAGTGTGAACGTGTTTAGAGAAATAAGTAGGCCCGTTTACCGCTCCCCCATGAACACTTCGTCCTATTATATGCTTACCCAATGTTCCACTACTTTTCTTTATATTTTTATTTTTATCCCTTTTCACATTTTTTATATTTGGTTTTTCTTCTCTATCGGGCGTCGAAAGGTGGGGTAGCGACCCTCCACGCAAATGGGCTCGCCCATGGGATCGTAGCATTGTGCCATTTAGTATCCAATAAAATGGATTAAACAGTCAGGGGGACCGACGCAAATAGTATAGGATACGACCCATCCAAGAGCGAAGTATTGCCAAGCAATATTCAGTTTGAAGCTAAGATGATATTTGAAATCATGCTAAATAAACAATATTTTACTCTAACGTCTTGATATTACTAAACTGAACTGTAAAAGAAAAAATGTATAAAAATCTAATATTTAATGGTTATATTAAAGAAATAAATATGATACTTTTCGAGATGAAGGGATATATCACAAACTCACAAATGTCTGTAAAGTATTGAAATAGATGCTAGAAAGCTAAGAGAAATAATCGCCAAACTAATAAACTGTAAAATAAGTAACCGTGTAACTTTTTCAGATAAATACCTCCTTGAGTTATATTGTACGTGAAAATGATGATGGGGGAATGTCGAATATTCCTCCAGTCTGAGTAAATGGATTTTAAATAAGAAACAATGTATTTAACAATTTGTTGGGTTTGTAGAGAGCGGTCAAGAATTTTTTATGACTGGTTGTTTGATAACTTGTTGGATTCTTGTCAAGAATGAGCTAGTTTCGAAAAACACCCTTTTCATGACGTTTCGACCTTATTCGGGTAATCTTCAATACATAAAGTGTGGTGTTATTCTTGTGGTGTCATATTGGTGTTGTGTGACTTTCAACAATTTCACACTTTATGCCCTGAAGATGACCCGAATAAAGGTTGAAACATCGGCAAATAAATGAAAAAGGTGGTTTGCTAAACTACCTCATTCTTGACGAGAATCCAACATGTTATTAAATAATCGGTCATGAAAAACGCACAATATATTTAATAGTGAGCAAGAGTGTTAATGGATTTAGGAACGTATTTCGAGTTTGTGATATATTAATATTTCAGAAATTGACTCGCGGTTTGGTATTCATAGATGGTATTTACAAATTCATTTAATGATTCAATAACAAATAGTCGTTTACCATAATGATGGCCATTTATTACAAATTGGGTTACCAGGCGCCTTATTATGGTCCTTTCCAATCACTTTTGTCCTTTCCAATCATTTTGGTCTGTTTAGTACTGGGTCTGTTATAAAGTTATGAAAGAAGCAAACTTACTTAGATAAAACACTGTCCTACTACTGAAGATGGCGAGAAGGCAGAACAAAACGATCGCTAACGACCAAACTACAAACACGATTATTGTTAGATTTCTCTTTTAGGCTCTGTTTTAGTCTGTCATGAGTTTAAGTTCAATATATTTTTATTCCTACTGTTCTACTATAGTTAGACCTCTTCACAAATTTTGACATATTATCAATGTAATTCGTAAAAATTTGATTAGAAACATTCCCCTTCCAGTCAGTTTCAGATTCTGTCTGTAAATTTTGTTCGTTTTTATAAGATTTTGTCAGGGTACAAGTTGAAGTCCACGCAAATAAATTCTTGTTGTTATTATGAACCTGAAATAAATTTTCTATAATTTTGATTTTCCATTTCTTAGCTATTTTGGTTCAGTCGCATTCTGGGTTCAAAATATAACACTTAAAAAAAAGTGTTCAAAAGCAGCTATAATCGTGAATAGATTTATATTCATGATTGAGTAAGAAATGAATAGGGAAAACGTTCAGACTATCAATTAATACACCTTCCACGGAATGGATTCGTAAATAAGATATAATTTCTACAAGCCACAGCAAGCATTGAACAAAACTTAGTGATATTTGACGGGATAAACGAATTTCGGCTTATTACTTTCTTCAGTGGTGATTTAATTTTAATATAATAATTTTAATTAGGGGTACAATAAAAAAATCAAATTAAAAAAGCAGTAATGCATAAAGGCGTCTGAAGGGCCCCAAACCTGCGAGGATAGGTAGACTAAAATGATCAGAAACCATCAAAATAAATTATGTAATTTAGGTTTTATATTACATTATATTTATATTTGGTACATATTGCGATATAATATACATATTTTTTAAATATAATTTTATATATCATCAAAACAATTTATACCTTCTAGTATCTTCCTCAATATCGAAAAAAAGATTTAATTTTCTTTTTCGAAAATGGTATATTTTGGATTTTGTTAATTTGTATTAGCAGATAATCAAATTGAGCGGAAACGTTAATATAAATTTAACATTTTTAATTTACCTATTTTCACCAAAGATTAACGCTACCAGAAGAAAACGTGACCGAGGTTTTTTCCAATCATCTACAAACTTAATCGTCTGACACAAAATTTATTCACGACACACCGCCCCGTCTTCACTGTTAAGTTTCAATTAATAAAATAAATATTCATAGTTGGCACAAGCCTTGCAAGGCCGTCCGGCGGGTGCTGGCGATAAAAATTCAGCGTTGAGGGCCTCTAGAAATGCAAATTTCGCCTATTCTTAAGGGCCAAGGGCCTACGAATTCCATATGGCATATGCGAAACAACAGGTTGGGCGACAGGAGCGCAATTAGATGGGCGTCCGGTCACGTGCCGGAGACATGTGTTGTGCCACGTGACCAGGGTCTCCACTATCACAGCTTCTCTGGACATCTGTCCTTTACTCTTTCTCATCCGAATACTTAAATTGTAAGCCATATATTTTCAGTTAAGTAACAAGCAAGGTGTATTTGGGTTATTATGAACAACATTATTGGTTTAAATATTTACCTCAGTCCATACGATGATTATCGATCGTACAAATACATAATAATATAAGTTAAAATTAAAAAAAAAAATATAATAAATTAATTTTTTTGGAAAAATTACTATGAATGTTGTGATATTACATCCATTGACGAAATAAGTTCTGAGAATTTTTTCAATCAATTTAAAATTCAAACAAAATATTGTTCGAATGTTATGAGCTGAAATTGTTTCAAGAAAAGTAGCGTCATTTTACAATTCCAGAGAAGCTAAATAACTTACGTTGAAGATTTCCTGGTTTAAGGACGGCACCACCAGAAATTATACAAAAAATAAGCAGTTTTGAGAACTAATTGATCATTCCAGTCAAAAAAAAAAAAATTCCCCTGAAGTACTTTGAACACTTCTTGAAAAGTGCAAGTATGGTGCTTGGATGAATGAAAGTCTCATACATAAATGATTCGCCAAGTTTCGGTGGCAATGTAATATTGAATAAAGTTTTCAATGAAAAATTTGAGAATACAAAATTAATGCATATACAAATAAAAAAGGTCCGAGATCACAAGGACATACCGGAACAATAAAAGACCAAGGCATAGTCTGCCAAAGGCGTTGATTTACTCATCTCACCATTTCTTTAAGCCTTCTTGGCTAAATAGCTTAGTTAGTTTGTGCGTTTCTTTCCCTATACATGTGATTTATTTAATGTAGAGTTTGTGGTGTAATTTTTTTATTCTTTTGTCGCTGACACATCATCACGACCTTTTAATAGCGACTTGACTTCACAAAAACCACATAGACACACTGAGGATGTCGAAATGCCGAAACGCATCTGACAGAACATCCCAGCGAGAATAGATAGGCAACTGAGCTGATCACTAACGACCAAATTACATTTTTATTGACAATTAACATAAACTTCGAAAATATTTTTTCTTTAATATGTAAACTGAGAGGTTGTCATATTTAACAGAAAGATAAAATAAAAACAACTGGACGAAAGAAAAAAATTTTGGGTGTGAACAAATATAAAAAAAGAAATTTTTATTATTCTTTTGCACAAGTACAGTAAACTAACAACGAAACTTATATACATTACTGTAATGTACACCAACAGGCCGTTATCCCAGGCCCAGTCTGATATAAGATATGTATAATTTTGATATTTACAATTCGTATGGACATTTTTCAATCTGATATTGCATGTGCCTCGTATATGTACAAAACTGTAACAAAATTTAACAATTTATACAAATCGACAGAATAAAATACAGACAAAATATGAAAAAGAAAATCCAACTAATTAAAAGGTAACGTTCGATGGCACTTTATAGTTAAAAACAAAAAATAAAAACACTTAAAAAATTGAATATAAAATTCAATACATTCACTCTGTTAATATTTCCTATAATATACTATTTTTTTAAATATAAAAATTATAAATAGAAACTTATAAAGGGTTCCTTCTACATATTGGTTTCGTTGTTAAGCTATTTCCTTTCCTTATACTTTTATATTTTTCTTTCTTCTCTTGTGTATTTCTTTGTTTGTTTGAAGGTTTAATTTTTTATTTCATAGTGAGGTATGAAAGGATGACTAGAAATGTAATAACTATACATAGATTGAAATTTTACAACTATGAGTTGTTTACACTGTACAATTAAATTCGATTTTCAAATTTTATACACCATATACAATTATTTTTGATCCGTATACAGAGGGTATAATTCACTTGGAAGTCGGCCCGACGATCGGGCTGTAGCTCTGCGAATTGCACGTCGGCAGGGCGAAGTGGTTCATAGTCGCAAAGGGTGACGAGACCATGCCTCCAACTCCTGCAACAAAAAAATATTAGTAATTTATTCTAGAATTGCGATATGCTGAAAGAGGAGATTAAACAAAAGTATCATGACTGGAGGTTTGTTTTAAAAAGTTGACGTGAAAGATTTTTATCTAAACCTTGGGATTGTTGTTATTTAATTTTCTTTGACTTCTTCTACAAAAACTAAAGGTCTACTCAGGTTTAAAAATATTATGACACTAGAACATCATTTGCTTAATTTCTTTCTACATTCTATAAGATATTGTAGTTTGAAAATATCATTGTATTGAAATATCAGTGGACTTGGACTCAATAAGTTAAAGTAATCAGTTAACTAATAATAAAGGCAAATCGTCATAAAGAGACACAAATAACTACGGAAACAAACTCAGTTCGCTAGGTTATAAAATTCAGCGAATAAGGTATTAAGAAACAATATCTCGCATAAAAATAAATAAAATGTGCAAAGGGGCAAGATTATGCTATGTCAGACACATTTACCGCTCGTAAATATGGCAATAAATTTTTCAGATAGTAACTGCTATCCATTAAACTTATTCTTTGATCGAGATATTCATTCTCCCTGAAAAATGTGAAACTGTACTGGAAAGGTTGTAGTATGATCACTTTGTTTTAAGTATCCTCAGGGTATGGTGCAATAGATATCTATAATATCTTACGCATTTTTCATTTTCATACGAGAATCATAGACAAACCTTTTGGATCTGCTTTAACGAAGAGACAATGATTATGGGATGTTTAGACTCAATATTACCTTTGTTTGGGTACCAGAAGCATAAATTGGCCAAGGAAAATTCAATCTTGACATCTATCGGCCCTAAATCCTTTTTTAGAATGCCAAATCGCCAAAAACGTACCATCAGCTATTGAGTTAAGCATAAGTGCCCAGTTCAATGTGACTGTATTACAAGACAGAGGCATGGTAAAATATAACTACAGAACAACTAAACCTGACTAAAATGACAGTATGACTGACTGCAGACGGTACACAGCAGACTCCGGAGTCATGTTTAGACGGATCAGCAGAAAAAAGCCTGTGTACGTATTGCCAAGAAGAAGACGAGTAGCAGTTGAACCTCTGTTCCTGAGAAGACCTATGCAGGCTGAGATTCTTACTCATTGGAGAGGAAACTCCAAGTCTGAATGTTAAAAAGGTTTTAACAAAGATTTGAGATATGTTAAAAAGCATTAAGCTTAAATAAGAGCTCTAGCCAATGATAGACATTTTCAAATATACCGACAACGGTCGCAGTGCCCAAATTCGTAAGAGGCCGACTCTTAGTAACCTAACCTTCATGAATTTAGTCGTTATTATAACAAATTTTAGTTTAGGTTCATAAAGACTGGGATTGTTTCTCGGGGAGGGGAAAAACCAAGGCGTGAAGGATACACACAGGAGCCCTTAGGAAAGTTTGGAATCTGGTAAAAAGTCTGACGCTTAATGAAAAGCTTTAGTCAATAATGGAGAATGCATAATAAACCAATCTTGGTCGCGGTTCGTTAAGAGTCCGACTCCTAGATTCATACAGTCGTTATTATAAAAATATGCAGTATGGTCGTTTCTCTTCATTTTAGTCGATCTATCTTTGCTGCTTGCGTCAGTCAGACACGTTCGGCTTCTCACCATCTTCAGCGGTCGATAATTGTGATTTTTAGTTAAACAGTTCAAAACAACGAGGACAGGGAGACCAAAGTGATTAGAATCGACCGAAGGTTTATCACTCCATTGACTCCAAAGAGGAAATCTTACAATTGCTGAAAACTGTCTTTTTTAACTAAATCGTTCTCATTAACAAATTTTAAAAGGATATAACAAACCAATGAAATAATTACTCAATAAAATTAATATTAAATCATAATAAAACTGGCAATAAATAATTAATAAAATTAGGTATTAAAAAAGAAATAGGATACCCGATTATATATATCCGGATGTCGTTAAATGTGTTATGGGTGACTCACTGGATGTGGAGTTGAATATCGCCGCCGGGGTGTTGGAAGGCTGCGTGGCCGGGGGATAGCTGCCCCCGGCCGACGGTGCGCTGTTGTAGCCCCCGTTGCTAGAATGGGGCGTGGACGTGCTAGAGCCATATCCACGAGGGGAGACACTACCGGCCTGACCCCTTCCGTACTCTTCTGTAAAAGCCATTAATCAATTAGTTGACGTTTGACCGAGGGCAGTACAGGGCGGGTGCAATGTAAACACGGTTAAACCGCCACCGCGGATCGATTTGCACTTCCGACTACGGATTGAGCAACTGTTTTACAATGATATGAAGGTTCATTGTACCTTCGGTCCACTGACCGTTGTTCTCGTGCACCGTCACAGCAAGCTGACCGGAGTACGAGTTGAACGAAGAGTTGTTGTTCGGGGGCGGTGTACGAGGCGCGCCCAGCTGGTTGTTCCTGGGCATCGAGTACAACGCCTCCGCCAGATCTGCAGCCCTTTTCAGTATGATTTCCTAAAAAACATAAATAATATCTATAATAAATATAAAGGTAAAAGGCAAAAGAGAACACGTGAGGTTATTGAAACAGCAATTTTAAAAGAAATCAAATAAAACGAAGATCCTTTCTTTCACAAATGCACCAAAACCAAAGCTCCAGGAAAAACCAGTGTAATTATAAACACAACGTATTGTCAAAAGAGCGATTAGTCGCACACACTCACAGGGAGAAATAAAATACACTTTCTGAAGGAAGTGGCTCGAATTATTCTCTCCCTTTCACTCTCTTACTTTCTATCTCTCTCTCACACACTCTCACTCTTTCTCTTTATTTTTCTCTCTTTCTCTTTATTTTTCTCTCTTTCTCTTTATAAATCTATCTGTATATCTCCACATTCCTCTGCTGTCTGTCTGCTTTGCTCTGACACACATTACACACGCACCTTCATTGGCTGAGTAACCGCAGAATCACAAGTGGTATTATGTTATTAATCCTTTTTTAAAATAAGCTTTTTTTATTGTAACCGTACCTTGGGCAGTTTTTCCGGGTCGCCTGGATGCCTGGGTATGAGCTTCTGTAACCTCTGAAACCCGTAATCGATCGTCGGCTCGTTCAAAGCTATAGACACAAGATTGATTAAGCATTAAAAACAATAATTAAAAAGAAGAAAAGAAAATATTGCATAAAAAATTTAGCTAGGGAACATGAAGGCGTATTCATATAAAATAAACAAATGATAAAATCGATAAACTGTCTCGATTGTTTGTTTCTCAATAACTAATTGTTCAGTCAGCACTTACAAACATAAACAAATCGTCCTGGAGCCCCTTTGCAAAACTGTTTACTTTTGTAGGACAGCGTGACCTCAACGACGCCCGGTATGTGCCTCGGGGGCGTTTGAACTCTGATGGCGTGAGATGTTATCAGCTGAAAAAGACAAATGATTAACACGTAAAAACCACTGTGTCAACTGAATGAAAGTGGATTAATTAATTATTGTTAATTAAATTGAAATAAAAAAAAGGCTCTTCACCTCGCTCCACACGAGCATTGTGCCGAACACGACTTGGAGACCGTCGAAGAAATTGTCTCCGATTATAATGACCGTCGAGCCTCCGTTTGTCCAGCCCTCGCTCGGCGATATTGCTTTTATACATGGTGTAGCGACAGGCAGTGGTGGGTATAGACCTGAAAATAACACACATCACCTTATAAAAATACCTTTATTTAAATTTTATTGTGTATGTATCAGTTGTTTCTTTCTACTTATGTCTCTGTCGGTGGAAAAAAGTGAAAAGAGAATGAGAGAAAGATGAACAGAAAAATTGGTGTACATAGATGAAGAGAGAGAACAAGAGAAGGGGAGAAGGAAAGATAAATAGATATATAGATAGAGAGAAAAAGGGAAATATATTAATAAAGAAATTGAGATAAATAAATATAACGAGACTAAACAAGTAAAGCGAAAGAGTGTGAGAGAGAAAAATTGCAATAGAGCTTAGCAAATATAGCAAAACGAAGGATGAGAAAGGGAAAGACAGGGAAGAGAGAGAGAGAGAGAGAGAGAGAGAGAGAGAGAGAGAGAGAGAGAGAGAGAGNAGAGATAGAGAGAGAGATTAAAATTGAATGTTAGAAAAAGGGAGACAAATAACGTGAGAATCGAATTAAATATAATGATAGAGAGAGATAGAGTGGGTGAGAAAGTGTAAGTGAGAGACAATGAGAGACACTGACTATGTCTGTGATGTAATGATCAATATTGAATTGAATTCGCTAAGCCACCTTGAGGTACAATCGATTCACAAACCCATACTTGATTTGTCTAAGGAAGGGACAACTCTATGACATGATTTTAATCTGTAAAACGTTCACTAATGACTACAAATTGAAAGGTAATAAAAAATTACAAAAAATAAAATAAATATAAGCCGACTAAAGATATTCTAACAGGGTCCGACCTTTCAACTAAAGTTGTATGAATTTAAGGTTTCGTCGTGCAGTCCATAAAAATTGAAAGGAACTCGCCTCGTATATCCGAGGACGCGCCATGTTGCAGGTAGCATTGTCCCAACGAATTAAAATCCCACCCCCGCGGGGCAAACAAGATGGTCCCCTCGTGTGCGGCGGGGTGGAAAATCATGGGGTCCCGAAGGCAAGAATGAGAGGTTAGGGATGTAGCATTCCGAGGGGTGGTGCAATTACGCGAAGGGCAATAAACCTAGAGGCCCTGAACCTTTATTTATGACAGACAAACATGTTTTGAACGAAAAACCTGCACTACTTACAATAATGTACAATTTTTTTTCCACAAGAAGAACATTACACATTCAGTAAAAACAGTAGCAATTAATTTCAAAAATATTATGTATATTTTATTATGTCGGCTGAAGAATGATTTTCATTCTTAACATTACTGTCCACCTCACCTTGCCTCTTCGTATCGTTTTATTAGGCCTTCTCCCTTTCTTCGGCAAAGAATTTTAAAAGCTTCTTGTTCTTCGCCTACACACATCATCGAACCCTTAAATATTACCCCCAATCCCAATTCGGATTCCACTGCTTCTACTCGACTATAAAGCAAGCTACCTCCCTCGAGCTTAAAACTGCCCTGGTTGTTGCCTTGACATGTCGCAGGCCTTTGATCGTTTGGCACGATGGCTTTTTATGGAAGCTAAAGGTCATCCTTCATTTTATATACGACCTTATCCTCAAATCCTTCCTAACACACTGCTACTTCCAAGTAACCCAAGGCACCCCTTCCTCTTGCATTTTTCCCATTTTAGCCGGCGTCCCCCAGGGAAGCATACTTGCTCCTTTATTTTACTCCTTTACAGCTGATCTCCCATTACATTCCGACACCTTAACCTTCACATACCCCGATGACACTGCAATGCTCTCCCCAAACATCGATCCTGTTTCTTCTATCCCTATGTGTATGTATGTGAATATCTTTGAAATAACATAATTTTTCCTTGTTGAATTTTGAATGCAGTTGTAAAATAAATAAATAAATAAATGAAAAAACCTTCCAACGTGAGGTATACAATTTATAAAATGATTTTTTGAATTTATTATTAAGCAAAAATATTGCAAATAACCTTTCATAGTACGTTAAAGTATTCTAAGTGCCTTAAATAAATGGCAATTAAACTTGTCTAAAACGAATAAATACAAAAGGACAATGCAAAAGTGCAATTTATGGAAGTGAGAAAAAACAAAAGAAAAAGTCACAGAGCTGAAAATTGCCAGGCCCTTTTGGTGAAGAGGGTGACAAAAATGATTATATTAGAAGGAAGCCTCCACCTTGTAATTCCACTTTACCGCCGGCATAATTAATAGGACACCCTTCTCTTGCCCAAACCCTGCCTACAACCTCATTCTTAATTACTATTTCACAAGAGGCTTCTGACTTTTAATCTCATTGCCGCGAGAATTAAAGCCTCTTTGCACCCATCCTCCCCGGAATGCTCCACCCTCTGTTTACCTCGCCCGGGATGCCAAAAAGGATGAAAAGGAGCCAGCTCGTCCGTCGAGAAACGCTGCGCAAACCATTTCGAATTTAATACTCCTGGGACGACCTTTGTTTTCTGATTCGACTCGATTTGTCTCTTGCTTCATGTTTACTTTCTTAAACGTGGTTTTATTTGCTGTCTTTGTCGTCGGGGTTCATCACCCACCCTAATCCACTCTAGATCCGTTGAATGGATGAAATAAACGAACCCTTACATTCATGGTTCCGAAGGAAAACCAAGACGGAGGACCAAATGGACAATTGGCCGATTTTAATTGTTCTAAATGTAAGATGAAAAAAAGAATGTTTAAAATAAAAAAATGTTTTATACTTTTTACTCTTATATATATTTATATATTTTTAGTATATTTTAATATGTAACTTTAACATTAATAGAAATCCATTATCTTTTAGTGGTCATATTGACCAAATTCCTTCTTTCAATTAATTAGTCTTTTTATGTAAGGTCTCGGTTGAGATGAAAAAATTGAAATGAAATTAATATAAATATGTACGTTGGTCGTTTCCGATCAGTTTAGTTTGATTGTCTTTGCTGGTTTGCTCTGGTAGACGCGTTTCGGCTTCTTGCTACCTACAATGGTAGATTCTGTTACGATTTTACTAAAGGAATAAAATTGGCAAAGTAAGACATAGACTCACTGTAAAACTAGTATATTTGACTAAATATTTACATATACACAGACTGCAACCTGACTTAGAAGTGCGAAAGACACTGGGCTTTATAACCTTCTACAACCTTACCAATGTAATCATTTTATCTTATTTTGCCTGTTACTGCGTTTGCGGGGAAAAACTGATTATAAAAGGACATTTCACATTAAAATATGCTATTTCAGTTAGCTTTTGGAAGATACGATTAATAGAATTAAAAATAATGTCGTGTTTGTAATTTTTTACTTTTACGTGAATTCGATTCCTCTTTGATATGATTAGTTATACAACAAAAGTTGCGTCACGAAAAATATACACTGTAATATTTAAAGGTTGTGGATGTAAAAGTGATACCGTTTGTAGATATATCCGGCTACTATCTTAAAAAACTCATACTCTTCCACCTCACTTCACCTGTGAGCGATTATCGTCGTGCTGCACGAACGCCATTTACTCTTACGTGAAATAGCTTCTGATCTCGATAGATTCGGACGAAATGCTATTTAACACCTTAGAATATCAGCTAGCTAATAATAGAGAATATTACCTCAATATGGCAATAATACATTTAAATTATAAATACACTTTTCTGTAATTATTCCTATTTGAACTCTTCGATCTTCGGTCAACGGTTTGTTTTGTTACAAACTGTTGATTTATGCAACAATTAGCACAATTATTTTAAAAATTATTATTCTTATTTAAAAAAATTTAAATTGAAAATACAGGGGAGAAATTAGGCGGAATTAAATAGTTTTGCCTTTACTAACCATATTTTTGGATACTTAAAAGATACAAATTTTGTTCTATGGCATTGCTAAAAACTGAACAGTTTGTTATTTACGAAAACGGTACTTTACTACATTTGTCATGCAATTCTTTTCAGCGTGTCAAACAGGATTTTTAAGTTTCAAAATTATCATTGGACGTTCAAAATCATTCCGTTTTTTCCGTATTTTGTGATACTCGTTTTCTCGAATTACCTCCAAAGCCAGGAAACAAGTGATGTTGTCATCATATCGATTCAATATTCACCGCCGAGGTATTAATAACTTAACAATGTCGAGATATCCTTCCTCTAACTGCCTTACGTGCTTTGCTTCGAGGAGGGCTCGGCTATTATCTTCTGATTAATTTTGCCCAACCCCCAAGCTCCCACGATAGTGCTCGCTATTACGCATTTTGTATAAATCCATTAGACACGCACAATAACACGTGCCTTTATGAATTTATAATAATAGATGTTAAATTATCGAGTGTAATTTTTGTGACTAAAAAAACCATAAAATATTTTGGTTAAAGAAATTACTTTATGGTTGATACTTTGTAAAACTATTTCAAAATAAAGTGAAATATAAAAACAAATACAACATAAAATTTGGACACTGTTTTACTTACAATAATAACTCATAAAGATTTGAAAACATGATGTAATACATGATTGCATAATTATATGGTTAAATTTCGATTTCTTCCAGAATGGTAAATGTCAAGAGATTTTTTTTGCACAAATATCGAATATGAGATAAATAACGCCAGCCTTGAGGTGGCTGGCCGGAGGGGTAGTCGTGGATGAAGTCCAATCAAAAATATTCTGTCGGGGGTCTCGAATGGTTGTAGGGGTGTGTTCGGCCATAAAGACCCGGCCTAGAAGAGGGATGGAGCAAGAAGACGGAGAGTGGAGATTATGGCTGTGCAGTTAGGGGAGAGGGATGGCGGACCTGAGATGAAAAACGCAACCCCCCTCCACGAAAGCTCACCCTCGTTGCCAGACAGGAAAAACCAACCCTAACAAGCCTCGGTAACGCCGGCTTTAATTGCAACAGTTTTATTTGTCGTAATAAATTTCCGGAAAGGGGCCGAAAAGTAGGGGGAGCATTTGTTTAGCAGTATCGCTCAAAGTTCGTAGATTAGGTAAAATATTTGGGGATCCTCAACTGGTCAATATGAATAGTTTTTTATGTAGTTCACTTTGTCTGACATAAGTCATACACTACAGTTGGGTAAATAATGAAAAATATATACAGTAGCGTTAACTCTAATTGAAGCATGTGAGGGGCTTTGAACACAGTAGCTGTGCTATTTTTTAAAAGATTTATTTACCCACAAAGGTCAGCAAGATGTCTCCTTTTCAGCCTTCTAGGTTCATGTGTCGGCTGCAGTACTGGACAAAATCAGTGAAGATGGTATTCGGGTACTCACTTATGCGTTGATACAATTCCTCATGTGCCTCTCACCATTTCGGGGACGTATGGTATATGTATATCCCGGTGAAATATATCGTTCCTAATATACCATAGTGCATTCGTGATAATCCACAGAACTCGACTTTGGTGAACTTGCAGTCTTTTTAATTGAGAGATACTTGCAGACCCCAGGAAAGGTGACACATACTGCCAAATAAGACTGAGAAACCTTTTGTTAAAGAGTGAAAGTGAAGCACTCTTGTCAAGGACGGGATCGCCCCAAAAGTCGTTTAATCTGATGACTGATAATTTATGAATATGTAACTCTTTTATCTAGTGGGACGCATTAATATTTTACGGAATCAGCTTCGGGTAATCGAGTTGCAGCCATGACTATCGGTGACGTTTCAAATCTTCTGAGATAGGTGAATGCAACTAGAGTAGACTTTTGAGGATTTACTTTCGTACGCCATTTTTCATTCAAGTCCATTGTCCTTTGTCATTCCAGTTAACATAATTTTGTAATTGCTTAGAAGCTATTAGACTTTCTTTGCGTCTACTTAGTAAATAGCAAGATCAACTGCAAACATGGCTGTCGTTGTCAAGATAGATCTGAGGATGTCATGGGCATAATAGAATTTAAGAAAAGTCGCCCATACATGAACATAATGTGAAAAAATTAATTAAACACATAACTTGAACTTTATTAAATTAAGAGTTCCAACCCATGAACAGACGATTAAAACCATGCGTGGAAAGTGCGTTCTTTTTCACAAAACTAAGCACTTTCCTCGATGCCTCTTCCCAATTTCTCTTGGTTTTACCAAGGTAGCTAGGCTATACTGTATACGGGTTAGTGTTTCACATCCATAAGGATATGTCTTTGGTTTCTCCTGATACAGTACACCTTTCTGTCTCTGCTTTGCTCATGTTCTTTACCTCAAATCTTACCTGCTGAGAAATGGTCCTTCACTTTTTTTTGAAAAAAGTTTTATTGTTTATTTTCTCTTAGCTTGCTCATACCGAGTGCTTTCGTCCAGCTCTTGAGTTATTGTTTCTCACGCCATTTCTCCACGCTCAAAATTTAGCACATCTTCCTAGTTACAATCCGATGGTTTAGAGTACTGCCCCTTCTTTGGCAAGTTCATTAGGCGGTTCGTTTCCATGTTTTTTGAAGTACCGGAATTCCCCCCTCAAGGTAATCTAGTTTTGTTTTCCTAGGGTCATTAGGCAATTTAGTCTTACTTTGCAGCAGAATGAAGAAAAATTTAGTGTTTTTATAGCTGCCTGACTGTCCGAAATGATTACATGAATGGACTTCAGCTTGGAAGACAGTTGTACCTAGTCCAAGGGGGTTTTGCTAGGATGTAATTCGGCGTCTTTACCCCTACTCTCTGTTCAATCTTTGATTCATCAATGTACCATGTAATGTCAGCCCTTTTTGACTTGAGTTTGCCTTTCCAATGATCTCTGTTGGAATGATCTGTCAAAATTGAGTTTTCTTATAATTTTCTCTTTACTTTCGTGATGGATTCTCCTTAGATTTTGTGTTATTTCTTTGTATCTCTGTTGTCACTATCAAAAGTATGCATAAAGGTGAAAGGGTAGGTCAGCGAAAAAGCTGTTGTGGACATGTAGCAAAACTTTTAGTACAAAAATTTTGATGGAAGGTATTATTTGGAAAATTAAATGGTGCTATAATTTTTTCTCATAATTTTGATTTGCCTATCCTCACCGTTTTGGTCTGCCTTCTACTTCAGTAGATGGTCTGTGTTGAGAAAAGCAATTGGTCTTAAATAGCCGTTTAACGTTATGTAAATTTTAATCCGAACTAAACCAAATGAATAGCTAACTTCCACATTAAAATAAGTACTGAAAGCAATTGTTTACACATTTCAAATTAGGCGTATTTTGTAGAAAAAAAGTTGTTTCCAATGATATAAAATATGACATGGTTTCTTAAAATTCAGTCTAAGAAAATAAGTGAGAGAAGTGAAAAATTCAATAAAAACGTGGCGTTTACCTTCCCCAATCTTATTCTCTTTTTACACTATTAAAATCGTATAGATCGTTTTCTCTCGCCTTAAGTCAAAACGTTTTTAATATTAGAGAGTTGATGTTTAGACTGATTTTTATGGCCGCTGGTAAATTGGTCAATCGTTTAATGCAAATATTGGCAATTATGTTTTCCTAGATAACAAAGTGCATTTGATCATTCAAGATTAAAGAAAATCACCGTCAGTAAATAGAGAATGTTTGGTTTGTTTTGCTTACCTGTTGGTTCTGTGGTATTGAAACCGTTAACCCAAAACGCCCTGTGCAAATAGCATTTGTTCAACTATCAAATAGAATAATTCAAAGATCATAAGTCATTCTCGCCCAGGTTGAAGGGTTCTTGCTTTAAACAAATTCACCGTCAGTTTACATTTGTGTTAGGACGGATGAGGTAGAGAAGGAGGCGTCCTCCGGGCGAATGATCTAATTTGTATTCAGCACCCCCGCCGCCCCGCAACCCCCGCCGTCGGAACAACGTGCCGCCCTCGAGCCTCAACCCACTTATGTCCGACCTCTCTCCTTTCGAAGGCCGATTGAATATGTCAGATATGTTTTTCTTCGATGACTTCTAAAATCTGCCGAGGACACAATAGTGCACCTGTAACCCCCCCCCCCCCCCCGACGATCCTTTTAACTCGAGATCTATTTGACCGGTAAATCTCACGTGAAACATTCTAAAGCTTGAGCGATACTAAGTGTGAATTTTCTTTGAAAATTGTTTTTCAATTATAAAAGTTCTGATTTGTTCAACAGGTTGTTTATGTTTCACAGCAATTTTGTTGAAGTCGTGAGGAGCGGTCAAGAATGAGGTAGTATAGAAACTACACCATTTTTATTTTTTTGTTGACGTTTCGAGCTTTATTCGGGTCATCTTCAGTGCATAAACCAATATGACACCACAAGAATAACACCATACTTTATGCCCTGAAGATGATCCGAATAAAGGTCGAAATGTCGCCAAAAAAATGAAAAAGGTGTTTTTCTCACTACCTCATTCTTGACCGCGCCCACGACTTCAACTAATCATGAAACAACGGGTCACTAAGAAACACACATTTCACAGCAACGTTAAAACAATTCATTGATTCATTCATTTTTAATGCTGAATGAGTTAATGAACGTCTTTACATACTTGACTCACCATCGGAGGGGTCAATTCTTTTTGCCCTCCGTCCGTGCTTGGAGTTGTTATGGACGAACATGTTGTCGGAGACGGCGAGCAGGGGTCCTTCGACGTTCACCAACGTCGATATAACAACCTGAAAACAAAAAAAAGGGGAAAAAATTAATCATTTCATTCATCATTCAAAATTCATAATTTTTTTTATATCGTTAAAAAGGGAAATATCAAATAGTGTGTGATTTAAAGTTAAAAAATACAAATTTTAAACTTGTGAGATTTCGAGATGAGGTTTCTGGGATGATTAATTAACAGCGTAATGAAGAATTTATTTTCATTCGTTCGGATGTATTTATAGATAGAAAACTCATCATCTTTTAATTCACGGAATATAGTATTCTCCATCTTACTTTCTCCAAGTGAACGTATTCCTAACCCATGTGTCCGCCTAGCACCATTTTGGCTGTAATGTTCTTAATCCAAAATCAAATCGATCATCATTAGTTTGTTTATGCAGACAGGTGACGTGATGACTGACAATTAATTTGTCCTAGACGCTTCTTCTACTTCTGGAAAGAGTGAACAAGCAATTTTGACGTGACGTTGTCAGAGACAAGGTCATTATTGCAATGAGAACATGGGCAAACGTAGCATGTGATTTTTGAGGCGTGCATATGGTCAAACCAATGCTACAGGAAGAGGCAAGAAAAAGAAAATCAGCCACCCGATTTCCAAGCAACATTTTGGTGTTTTTGTCCGTATCTCTTTGGTGTGAATTTCAGTCTCCAGATAAGAATCTAAACAACCGATTCAGATAAGAGATACGTTTCCTGTCTCATGTCACCAGTCTTTTGTTCTTGAATAGATAAATGAACATGGTTGTCTACCTCATGTCTTCAGAAATAATCGATATTAAACATTTTTTTAATGTTATCTTTAAAGTGTCTATCGATCATAGTTCAATTTTAGTTGTAGTTTGTTTTTAAAACAGTTATAATTAATTAAAATATACGAAGAAAAAAATTGTTGTTTCAAATTAAGAAATTCAGTAAACTCGAGATAATGGCCGAGGGGGGAGTGAAGATAATATGTCAAATTTCTCATTAAAAAAATGTATTTTTGTAATATACTTATTAGAATTTCGGTATATGTGACAAAATGAAGACTCAAATATACTGAACGCGTGGCGACTGGCCGTTTTTCACGGCGCCCTAGTGCTTCCCAACCGGCAAGACGTGCGTGTTTACACGGTCACATCTGTTACGCCGGGCTCAGGATGGCTCACGCGAATCGCGTAATTGGATTACTCGGGACAATTGCCAACAAATGACCCGACCAATCGAGAGGGATGAGCGTTTGATAGGGAGCACAATCACACTAAACGATCCCTCATCGTCCCCCGGAGGAAACTCAATTTCTATAACGGCGAAAGGGACGTTTTGACGGATGGGGCGGGACGTGGAAAAACAGGTAGATTGGGAAACAATTAGGCACGAATCAATGATGCACACGGTATAAAAATTTAAAAAAGAAAAATTAACAGCCACGCCAATGTCAAACAAACACGCTTTGATCCCTGACGAATATATATTTACATGAAAATGTCCGGCCATATATTTATTTTATCAAATGCTTCATTTCATTTGTTTATATATCTAGGTCGGTATTGAATTTTTGTTATTATTCCTTATTTAAAAATTTCGCATTTTAAAAACTGATATTCCCTCATTGAAAACAACTAAATAACTTGAGCTTAGGTACATTTCTTTTATTTTTTATGATAATATGAAAAAAACGTAAGTTAATTTTGGTAGTGGGTTGTTGGTTTGGGCGAACAAATGTTGAGTTCATCAACACTTGATCTTTTTTTGGGGCTCAACTTTCGCTAGTTCACGTTACTTTACTCCACTGATTTTGGGCTTTACGCCAACTTCAGTTAAACATACATTACATTTGAAGCGTATTGGAAAAATTAATTTTTATGAAAAGGGCAGTATGTTTGAAATCGAACCAAGTAAAATATATTTACGATTGGTTAATACTGATTATTCCAAAAGTCATCATGGATAATTTTTCATTTTGAATAATATTGACAAAATGACGATCAGAAAGAATAAAATCACGCTTAAGAAGATTTTTTTTCTGTGAGGGACGTGGCAAGCATAGAACCATGGATGGGATTCTACCTTGCAATATCGAGATAGCGATTTGTCTGAGATCGGGGCAGGTAAAAGGACGTTATCATGGATTATCACTCCTAATCGAGCACGTAATCAGAGATCGAGTGCGGATCGATTCCGACGACCATTTCCCCACCCTCCCAGCCCGTCCCACCCTCACGAACGGGAGATAATACAGCAGCCCACCCCCAACCCCTGCCCCTGCCCCGTCCCCATCCCTTAGGAGATTCTCCCGAGGGAATATAGCGCAGGACCACCGTTCCCATGGGGACCCCCCAAACTCCCCCCGCCACCCTAGTTCGATTTCTAACCTTGTCCCGAACACTATTTTTTTCACCCTCCGAGGGTCCGTTGGCGCTGGCCAGGATTTATGACCGGGGGATATTTCGGAGAAGAGCCGCTTTCCATAGCCTGAAACAGATAGAATGTAAACAAGGGAAGAAGCTTTTGTTCGATGCTTGCTGTCGCTTGTAAGAGAGATGTGTTTATTTTCGAATACGATCCATAACAGGTGGATTATTTGATAGTCTGGACGTTTCCCCTATTCATTACTTACTCAATCACAAATATAAACTGATTCCCGTTGTTTTACCTGCTATCTTGGATCTCGTTTTGGCATTCCATCTTCCTCTTTTTTTAAAATTTGATTAAATTTTAAACCAGTTTGAACTGAAAAACCATAGAAAGGCACACCAGAATAATAAACTTGTTGCCAATCATTTTGGTATGTTTTTACACCATCTTCCACAGAAGGCTGGTGGCGTCTTTGGCCAATCGTATTTGTTTTATAAGGTTGTAACAGAACCAGCACTGAACATTTGAAACGCTTTGACTGAACAAAATGATCAGTAACGACCAACGTACTGGTTCATAACTCCGCAAAATTTATTTTATTAACAATATAAATCATTAAACTTTTTTTATTTTATTAAAAAAAAAGTGTTTATGCAATACAACCAGACAGACAGATCAAGATGGAAATGTGTAGAAGAATAAATCACTAATATTTAACAGTAGAAACAACTACATGACATACAAAAAGGACGAAAAATGGAAAGCTTCAAATAAAACATATTCACCATTAAAATATCTTCCAAACAAAAATTAACAACAGTTCATCATATACACCATCCAAAACACTACAAATTTAAATGAAAAAGGATCGATTTTTGATCGTCCGGAATAATTTAAATACCTAAACTAAATCCAAGAAAGGACCAAAAATAAAGTTAATTCCAATAGACTCAACCAATCACCACGTCCTTTTAAAAGAGACTCACAGAAATCACTAGAAATACTGAGTATGGCGAAATGACCGAAATGCAGCCGAATAAAATGCTTTCAACTAAGCGTAGAAGGACAGACCAAAAAGGTTCATTACCTCGCTAACCCCAGAAGTATACCTCACGAATTCTTAAAATAATAAAATTAATATGAAGGAAAATGTTATTTTTAAGAGGTTAACTACATGAATGTACATTATTACATTTGTTAAATGCAACATTAGGCATAGGAGGTATAATATATGGAATAATCATTCAGCATCGTGACAGAGCGTTGTTCTACATTGACATCATTATTTGGCTACGGTCACGTTCGTAAAGAGAGCTAAATCAATCTTCCTCTGAGTAAATAACACCTATAATCCGTATAAACAGTAGCTACTCAGCGAGACGGCGGGGAGGGTTGCCGGTGATACCCCCGCTATATAAATCTATCTACTGCCTTATCCTTATTACCCTGGATTATATGTTCTGTCGCCCCCTTCTCTCCCTTACTCGGGGAATTGCCTTTTATAATTTATAGACTCGGCTAGATTTCACCCCTGTAACTCGGAGAACCCCCCGGCCCACCCCTCGCCATATTGGACCCAGTCCCGCGGCAAGGTGGTTAATAAATTATCTCCGCTATGATTCAGAGGGATAAAACCATGCTCTCTCTAATTGGCCGCGATGTATAACAGAACAATAGGAGATAGAAAATTTAGAAAAAAATCACTAGAAATTACAAATTTACACAAGTAAGCGGTGTTACATGTGAAAAAGTAGACTTCCCCACCAGAATTTTATAACTTAATTTTACGTAAGAGAAAGCTATAAATTTCTCTAACCGCAGGTTATTTCTTTTATTCACGAATAAACTTGATCACTTGCTGAAAAAACAAATTCAATTGTAACTGCCAAAAAGTTGTTTCTTCGGTGCAACAATTGAATTTGTTTTTTCATCAAGACCATATCGTGATCCAGATTATTCGTGAGTAAAAGTGTTCGAACATTTAATTCTTAAATTAGATGTTTCTTTTATTTCTAATAAAATACAATTAAAATATTAAAATATACAATAAACAAAAACTAGGTGTGGAACTTTTAGAAGGATTTTAATTAAAAATATATGTTGAAATCGTACAAATGGAATAAATTTTTCAACAACTGTAACATTGTTGAAAAATTAAAAAAATATCATCATCAGATTGAAAGTTGAGTTCAAACGTTTATTAAGGAAACCTCAACTTTCTTCACAGAAAAAAACAGTATGGGGAGAGGTAGAGAGGATGAAGAGAGAGAGAGAGAGAGAGAGAGAGAGAGAGAGAGAGAGAGAGAGAGAGAGAGAGAGAGAGAGAGAGAGAGAGAGAGTGAGTGAGAGAGAGAGAGAAAAGTAAGTCAAAGTGACATCTCTTCAGAAGACTTAAGAGGCGAGTTAACAAAGACTTGGATGACTTCTTTTATGACAAAAATCTATTTTGACCTTCAAAACTCAGTTCTATACAAGACGTTACTGCGACCACTTTGGACATACGGGCTGTGACGTGTGCATATATATGTAATATGTATTTGTTTATGAACAGGCTACAATAGATTATTTATATAAAAAGAAGTTATTTTTGAAAAACAGAAAACGGCCGGTAGTATTGACAAATGTTCGATAAATGTATTACGTGAATATTTTTATAGCATTTACA